GAACTGAGCTCTTAATCTGCAGGTAGTGCAATACATTACAAATGCCTCTGATGAGTAGATGCATAACCTGGCCAGCTGGCTGGTATTCTCCACTCCCCTCAAAATTGCTCCCCTTACCCAGCTTTTATTGTTCCTTGTTTCCAACCATTTCTGCTTACATGAGTGTTTTATCCCTCTATTCTGCTGCATCCCTTGTAGCTAAAGGCTCCTTGCTGTCTTTCTGTCCATCCCATTCACACTCAGATCCCCTCTTACTCTCTTAATTCTGAAGGAACTTTGTCATTTTGTAGTTCAATAATCTCATCCTGTCACAATTAAAAAAAAAAAAAAAAAAAAAAGAAAGAAAGAAAAAAGAGAGATGGGAGAAAGACTGAAAGAAACAGAGAGAAAGAGAGAAAGAAAAAGAGAAAGCTGAATTTTTCTCACTTTCTATGCACCAAAGACACGGTGCTGTGGGTTTCAGAAACAACACCTCCCAAATGATTTTGTGGAATTTTTTTGGACAAAGTACCACTCCTTAAAAGGCACATGCAGCCCAAGCCAGAGGAGTATCAGCAACACCAGGGCCTGCAGACAGCTGGCCTAAAGTTCCTGCTCTGGGAGCTGGAGGAACACGGTGCCTTCCCGAGCGCTGTGTCCGGAGCTGCTGAGCCCCGCGGCTGTGCCTGAGCCCTCACCCCGCTGCTGGCAGGGCTGTGTGCCCACAGCAGTGACAGCTGCCAGGTACCACACTGCTGCTGGGGACACCAGCCTGCCCAGCTGCTGCTGCAGAGGTTCACAAAAGAAATCAAAGCGCGGATCATGCGATTCCTCAGCGCACGGCATTTCTGTTCTGACACATTCCTGTGGCTGTGGGCGGAAGATCCAAACAAAATGATGGTGCTGTTTCTTAGCAGCCGTATCATTTTAGTTGCTTCTGAACTCCTGGGTGCATCTATTTCTCAACAGAAGATTGAGATTCTGTGTCTCAGTAGAAATATTTTTACTTCTCTGTTAAAAAACAATGGAAGTTTCATCTTGTGACCATAGCAAGACAAAAAAAGCAGCACAACCACCACTGGGCTTTAGAGAATCATCCCAGCCATCAACTGTCTTAAACAAAGCTGCAGATGCTAATCATCAACTAAAAGCTTTTGCAGATAATGAGATGTGCTGTACAGATAGCAAGATGAACAAAGCCAGAAATTCACTAGCAATGCACTTCACTCATATCCCTTATGCAAGAAAAGGCAACTCTGAACTCTTTCTGTTGAAAAGATTCAGAGTTCCAATGCAATTAATCTTATACTAACAACTGCTTATTCATCTCAACTTCCCACGGGCAGGACTACGTATGTGAGCTTGCACAAACCAAGGGATGAAACCTTTTGAGTATAATTATACTTTTGAGACAATTAAGTAGCTATTCTTTAAACTCCTCAGCAACTCATTCCCATCCTTCTTTCCTCTGCCTCTTTTCCTCTTTGTCAGAGTAACAAATTTGGCACCTTGTAGCCTGCTTCCTTACATGGAGACTTCAGAGCTGCTCTCACAGTGTGATTGGTAATTGTCAGTGTAATTGGTCCACCCAGTAGAACTATCCTCAGGATGGGAACACTATTCATGTAGAAATATATAGATAAACCACCCAGTCAGAGCTTGAAGTTATCCCTAACACAAGCCTACATCACTCTGCATTTAGTTAATTTTTTCTCCAAAGATTAAAAAGAGGACCAACAAGAGGCCAACAAGATTAAAAAGAGGGTTCAAAGTCATTGGCTTTAATGCAGAAACAGAATCATGCTTTGAGAAGTATGAAAAGATGCCCCTACAAGAACAAGTAATTAATTCTTCAGTTGGATGTTTTACATCAGCAAGGAAGAGGGAAGAGGTTCCTATCCACTGCACAAAAAAATCATTTCAATGTGTAAGTGAACTGGCTGAGATAGAAGAATTATATAGAAGCAGCAAGGAAAAAATCAAATGAGAAAAATTACAGAAGAAAGACATGTGCAGAGGAAATTGGAAGCTCTAAAATACATCTCAAAAGGCCATTTCAGTACTGGGTAAATGTGAAAAAGAGATGAGATCATGGCTTTTTGTATGTGCAATCAGATATACTTTTACACAAATTACTTGATCTTACACAAATATATAGCATAATCCAAAACAGTTTTTCCTCTTATTAACATATTATTCATATAAAGAAATTATGTTTGTTGAACTCATTAGAATTTTTTCTTATAGTTATGGAACTCATTAGGTTTACAATCATTCACTGAAATTATTCCGTACCCTAATGAATGCCCTATTACACATACTGAAGAATAATTCAATACTACTCGGGGCTCTGCTGTTTTACAGGCTTAGTCTTTGAGGATAATAAATTCTACAGAAGTGATACATGTGAAAGAAGATTTCTGCCTCCATTTGTGTTTGCCTGTTTATTTAAACAACCTCATTCAGGCTCCACTGAGGCTTTCCCAGGAGTACTCTCTTAGGATGAAACCTTCCCCCCAACCATACTTGCTTTTAGTCTAGAGAACTTCAAAGAGATTTTTAGTGATACAGCAAAGTGATGTTGTACTGAACTCTGGGTTCACCCCTTCTAGCTCACCAAAACAGAATTATGTAAGTTCACAGCTAAAAAGATTACCCATCGAACTACTGAAGTTAGACATGGATTACAAAATCAGGTCGAGCTAGTTCTGGGCAATTACTCTTTACATTTAATTTCTTGGTGGTTAGTTCCAGTTCACCTGCAATGTACTTTGTAACTCAGTAGAAGAAATTTCATTATTAGGACTTTTTTGTTAATTTTTTTCTTTTTTATTTTCCCCCACATTTGGTAAAGATGCAATGGTAGTTGGAGGTTTTTTCCCTGAAAACAGTCAATAAAGAGACAATAAAGTGAGACAAGGTATAAAGCAGGGACTAAAAGAAACATACCTATGGTAATTTCTACACATCATATATGTCCAACTACTATTCTCTTTACTAGAGCCCACACCATTTTATGAACTAATTTAGGGATCCTTCACAAGAGAAAAGTAATGTTTTAGCATTCCTGGGTTGTTCAGCATAACTTCTAACAGTAATGAAAAAATGCCATAAATGTATTCACAATTCCCACGGTTTGTGCATTCAAAATGTTTGCTTATCTTCTGGGCAAGATGAGCAAGGGCTCAGACATTTCATAATGAGGTTTCATTCACCTGGGTGTTCCCTATATCTATTGCTATTCTCTAAGTTTTAATACTGAGATGTTTAGATAATTCATTTGTATTATTTTAAGCAACTAAATATGGGTTAAAGATATAAGCATTTGTATGCTGTGGAAGTCCACAGGTCAAAGTATAAGCAAAACAATAAGCAAAGTGTAAGACTTTTCACACTTTGCTCCTACCCACTATGTTTTGTACCTGATATTCAGAGTTGAGATGAAGCATAAACATGCAGCACCTTCAGTATTTTTATGAGCTTTTTCTTAAATAACTTCAAGTCCTTTCCCTTCTATTTCATTTCTTTTCCTTCTCTGTGATTTAATTTTTTGTGTTGGATGAGAAGTATCAAAAATGCTGAAGGAGTAAGCATGAAGGAAATGCAAAGTGAAAGGAATGAAAACCCAAGTGTTGCTCTGGCTACATCTAGAGGGGTTAGCCCACACTGAGAAACGCACCTCAGATCCTCCTTCAGGCTACAGAAGCTTTTTCTTCTTTAGTATGGGACCAATAATTCAACTCATTCAAATTCTTCATTTAAAAATGGCTCAGAATTATAGCACTGAATAATTCTTAACAGTATTACACAAACAGAAAATAACATTCAAAAATATGTGAATGTTTGAAAGGCAGCCATTGCAGGTCATCTAGTCATTCTTTCACCCAAGTAAGTGAGGTTTCTTCCATGTGCCTCTCTAAATCCAACAGATGGATATGATGACACTATTATTTCCATACAGACACCAGACAAAATGCATCAGTCATGATGATGACAACCTCTTCCAGTTGTTTAGTGTTATAAAAGGAGTAAAATCTGACTGCTGGAAGACTAACACTCATTGTCTGCCCCATGAAAATTAATGTCCTGGGGTTTACAGAACAGGAGGCCACTATGCTAAGTCCTGCTCTCCACCATTCCTGTTACACTGAAACTCACCATTCTTACCCTCAATTGCTTGTTATGGTGATATTAAACCCATATTTATCTTTTGATAAAGCCTTCTCTTTCACTGATAGAGAAATGCAAAGTCAACACATACATCCATATAAAAAAACAAAGTTTATATAGTACACACCATATTCCAATCTGATAGAGGATTTAATCAATCATACTACAGAAAATTTTTAATTACCATATTGCTATTTGCCTGTACAGGTGAAACACAAAGCTTTCTAAAATCAAAAAGGAGTTCATACCCTATGTGGAGACTGAGTCATCATTGTTGTTTTCAAATATATCAGAGATGTGCAGCAAGTTTTCTCCTGCAGGGCAGAAGTGCCAGGACCTAGAGTTCTTCTATTTTGTGTTAGAATGAAAAATATTTGTTTGAAGTACAATGAAAGAAGTCACCTTAATTCAATTTCATTGGCATTCTTTTACCAGAAGTTTAAATGAATCCATCCTAGATTAGGGATCACTCACATCAGTTCAGAACTGAGCTAAACACTTTTAAAGAGAAGAACAGTCAGGCTGAAAGATAACTCATCTACCAAGGAATTGCTCAGAGACAAAAATAAAGGAAATAAATAAATGTATAAATGCCCTCTAACACTTAGGCCAGCTTTACTTTGTGATGTATATGAAAACACTTCCTGAGAATAGATGCCAATGCCCTTGGCAGTGAGGTGAGCTAGAATCAAGTGGAAGAGAACTCCTGTCTCACCAACAAGAAGTAATTTTACTTTGTTTTACCTGTTTTTATTTTAAAGACTTCAAGAGAACAGGATCAGAGCTACTAAAATCAAATTAACTGCACCTACATAGAGGAAGAAAAGAAAGGAAAAAAGCTTGGTCCCTACCGTCTCCCACAAACTGAAGGAGGGCGAGATCAATTTGTCTCTTCCAAGGTGATCCTTTCTGGAGAGCAATCCCATAGCCAGTAGTGGCAAAGATGTACCCACTGCCTATTGTGACAAGTTTGCAGCCTTCATCTCTTCCAGCTTTGTAATTCAGCACTGCTGCATCATAGATGAAAGCATCCAACTTCCTGAAATAAAAGAAAACATTTTACAAACCAAATCATTAGGGACAGCTGTTGTCAGACTTCTTTTGTCCTTGATGTTAGGACCCTGTTGACTATCATATGGATTCTTTGATATCATTAATTACATATCCTGCTCTGCTGTATCTAAAATTAACAAAAGGCATCTATTTTAGTGAGGGGAAAGTAGGACACATAGTTTTGCATTTCTATTTTAAGGGTTGCTGTTAAAAAATACTGAGCAGGAGAAACCAATCCACAAAATGTCTTGCCCTGATATCTTTGTATCTTTGCTCTCAGTATGAATAATAAATATCTTGAGATGCAAAATGATATCCAAAAGCAACAGAAAGGACAACAGAGAAAGAATTGAAGCAACAATAGACAATAAGTTTATTTAAAATACTGAATGAGATTGAAAAAAATGTTCACCAGATTTACATACACACCCTTGTTTTACTTCTCTTTCCAAAAATAAACAGTGAAGGTGGAGGTTAAGTCCTTGATAAGACAAAGGAAGATACTGGAGCATATGTCATAGAGCTACCTAAAATCCCACTTAAATATGATAGAAAATATTTCTTTATGATTCATAGTTCCAAACATATGTATTTGTGCATCTGAAGCACAGCAGGAAGAAAGGAATTTGTGAAAAAGTTTAAGCTTTTACCCCATCTATCTAAAAATGGAAGAATGAGATAATCCCATTCTCTAAAGAATACAGGGAACACAACAGGAGTGGAACACAAATTCAGTGAAGAAAGGAAAAGAAGCAATATCCTCCAGGGATACCTTCTCAAAGGCACTGTAAAGCAAGTTAGAAGGCAGGTGCATGGATGTTTCACAAAGGAAGGCAGTGAAAATGCACATACAAGAAGAGGAAGCCATTTGGATGGACAATCACTTGACAGCAGCAGATGCCAGCCAAAGGCATTCTTATACTGCCAGAAATTCATATGCAAACTTCAGAAAGAAACAGATAAAACTTTATTTTGCATTACTGCCCTCATCTGCAGACAAAACCTTTTAAGATTTTTATTACTTGCACAAGAGGAAAGAGCTGTTGGGGCCCCAGCTCCAACTTCACCTGAAAAACACAGGAAAGCAAAGCCAGTCCACTCCCAATAACACACCCTCCCTTCCCAGCATCTTTGTGCATCCCCTAGGAATCAGAGGAGCAGGAAGGACACAGCCACTCCAGTGGCTTTGCTGGATGGTGTGGGGGAGTCTCCACACTGCCACCCCCATGGGCTGTGCAGCCCCAGGCACTGCCAGCTCTGCCTGCTGAGCCCCTGCAGAGCCACAGAGCATCGCTGTGCAGCACTGCTGAACCGACCTGACGGGCTGCAGCTGACACTGCACTGCCCACCAACACTCGGGGCCTGTCTCCATGCAAAGGCAGCTATAAAAATAAATGTATTGTGGCACAAACAGGAGCAACAGCATCAGCTTCAATTACATTATATCAGGGGGCACCAGTTGGGAATTCTCTTCCTATGAAGTCTTGGAGTCACACTTGCTATTAAGCTTAAATCTGTTTATGTTGATAAAACTTTTCATTTATACCCACAGAACAGAGCAAGACCTAGACATATCACATTTTGACTACTGACAGAAAAAAAAGCCCCAACAAGCTTTCATGCATATCATAATTCAAAGTTTATTCATAAATGATCAATCAACAGAACCCTAACTTTTTCAGAACTCTAAATCAGATACCAAAAATAAATAGCAAATAAAGAAACCCATGTCTTTATCACATTAAACCAAGAGGAATACCAGGAGAGAACGAAGTTCTTGGATTTTGTCTGCTGTTGTGGAAAAGTTAAGTTCCTGTCACTAATTACTGCTCTTTATTGCTTTCCTTCAAGGATATTTCTCCCAACAGTCACCATTCAAGTCATCTAATTGAAATTTAGTGAAGTGGTTAATTCAGAGTAGAGGTGGTTCATTCAACAATAAAAAAATAGTTGGCCCATCAGTTCTTTTGTTTTTCCCCTCTTCCCTAAATTTCCCTTGGCCCAACCTTCAGTTTAAAAGTCAGATTAGCTCCACCAATGCTCAAAATTTGGTTTCCTCATTCCTTTAAATGGATAATTTAATATGCAGAAAATCACTAAACATCTGGTAGGCGATGTCACAAATTCAATCCATAAATAAAACACGGATGGCTACCTGGTACTGAGGGTAACTAAACTGGAAAGAGCCAAGAGGTGCTGGGGCACTGCCAAGCCTGCAGCCCTCAACAGAGTTTTCTAAATGCTGGGCTTTGATGCAGCACTTCAGAGACAATATTTGCTTGTATAGAGAGCAAAACCAAAAATCTATGTCCTTTGGGTAGGCTCACAGTGGGAAGAAACCCCATAAACCTGCTTGCTGTACCCTCAGGATATTGTCACTTTTCTGACCTACAGCAGCCAATTACCAAAACCAACAGAGCCCAGCCCCAGCTCCTGACATCTGCAGTTATCTGTGGGGAAGGAAGGAAGGACTGCTCCCCTCTCAGAGGATGCTCACAGCTCAGGGATTGGGTGGTGTTGCTCTCTCCATGGTACAGACACTGCTGCAACCACACAACTTAAAACACATTCTGGAATTTGTCATCTGTTTATTCTGGGATTTGTAGTTTTGCAATGCAAGCACATAAAACACATGCTGTTAAACAGAGAGAAAATATAAAAAGTCAGCTACTCTTCTGTCAAAACAGTCTCAGTCAGAAATACAATGGAAAAAGATCTCTTTGCTAAAGCCTCCAGGGCTAAAGCCTTGTGCTACCTCAGAAATTGCAGTCTTCACATGCAGTTTGCCTCCTTGGTTACTGAGCACTGTAGTAAAACTTTGGGACAGAAAGACAAAGCACGGCCAGAGTTTCCCTCGCTGTGGAAGCAGCTCCCCAGCTTCCCAGGAGCCTGGGATCAGTGCAGTGCTCACACGTGGAGCATCTTCGGAGGATGCAGAAGGCTTTACTTTTGAGGACTTTTTCTATACTACTTCTGTAAGGTCACAACAAATCCCATTACACAAATCAATTTAAAAACATGAGGTACTTTCCTGACAGATGCTGAGAGCTGAAGGTTCTGCTGTCAGTCGCTGCCCAATGTCTTAACTGTAAATCAAAAATTGATTGCCCTGAAAAATTCTTGGTGTCCACAAATACAAACTTATATTCACAATTTATTTTCTGCATTCCCAACATAACTCTTATAACCTCTCAAGGCTTAATCATCTTTTCATCGTGTGCTGATTACAGAAGTACTGTTCCTGCAAAGCTCCAGAACACGCTGTGCCCCTGCAGCGTGGGCAGGGAGGAACAAGCCCCATCCAAAGCTCTCAGATTTTAGGGCACCCAACTCTTCCATCACTAGGAGGTGAATTTATGGCATTCCAAAATTTTAAGAACTTTCAGATAACTATAAACATTTCTTAATTAGTATTTCCAAAAACGGAGACAGCAAAATCTGGGCAAGCCCAAAAATTGTGACCCTTTCTGAGCTGTTTGCAAAGCTGGGAGCGAGATCAGCGCTGGCGGAAGACAAGGCAGGGATATGTGCAGGCCAGAAGGCTGCTGGGAACACAGAGGATTTTCCTTCTTGCCATGTCTGTGTGGAGAAAGCCACAGCTGCTGTTTCCCTGGGATCTGATGGAAAAGGCAGGCTGGGTGCACAGCAGGGACCGCTGGACACAGAAGCCCATCCTTGTCATTCTCCAGGCAGGACTGGGAAGCCAGGACCTCCAGCTCTCCCTGTTCTTTCTACAGAGACTGGCAAGCCCCAGGTGTTGGTTCTAATGGCACAAAACTGCAGTGTGCTGCACAGCTGAGCACGCTGTGCTGAGGTCACCCCTCAGTGCAGAGCAGCTTCCACACCCTGAGCACGGACCACACACCCAGAGAGGCTCAGAGCCTCCTGCAAGCCTCAGCCACGTACAAATGAACCATTAACTTGGTTAACCACCATAACCACCATTAACAAATGAACCATTAACTTGGTTAACCACCATAACCACCATTAACAAATGAACCATTAATTTGTCAGCTCAGTGCAGCAGGGAGGGAGAAGCTTTGTCACACTGTGGAGTTTAACTAAACTGGTAAGAAGTGTTAGAGAGTGAGAGAGAACTAACAAAGGTGAAATGTGAGAAGGTTCAAAACTGCCACGAAGTGGCCAAACAGGCTGGGCACCTGCAGCCAGTGCAGGGGAGCAGAACTGCAGAGCTGTGATTCATCTGAGCAGGTCTGCAAATTTCTCAGAACTACCGCAATAATCCTGGCCAGAAGGAAAAAGAAACAGTTTGGAATATTTATATAACAGTGACTACAAAGGCAGACATCCTTCATCACTGAGCAAGCACCAAGGGGATAGGGGGTGGGGAGAATCTTATCTCACAGCATCAGAGAACATCAGGTGTTATGAAATCATGAATTCGAATACTTCTAGAAAAACCCAAACAGGCATTACTGAATGTAATAATTTGAAGTGGGAGATACATGAAAAATGTGTGGACAGTCCCATAAATAAACGTTTATGATTAATCAAGAAGGACAGGAGTTGAAAAATTAGAAAAACTACTGCAAAAATTTATTCTCAAGAATTGCTGGACACATGCAAAATTGCCTGCATAGAGAAAATTTAAGTTAGAGGAAAAGGTACAGAAAAGCAATTTCAGAAAAGTTGAAAACATTTCCCTATAATTTTCCCCATCCTTATTATTGGCACAACTTTTCATAAAATTCCTATGATGAAAACTGAAAAGGAAGATGAGGAAAATGCTCCTTTTATTAGTCACTTCTCCCTTAACAACAGAAATATAACACAATTGAAAAACATTCCTTTGTTTTCTTAACCAACTACATCTTCCTTCCATGATTTTGTTCCCTTGATGGAATAAGTAAAAATCTAAAATGCCAATCTGCTCAGTAGTTCTGGAGCTACAATGACATTAGGGGGGAAAAAATTGGTGTCCACTTAAGGCTGGATTAAATTTAATTATATATTTTTAGAGACCAT